ACGAAAAGGAGAGCGACTGGCGCCAAACTGCGTTCAAGTTCATCCGTTCGATGGTGGAGTCTTTTTTTTACATTAACAATATCTTTACAGGGATACATTATAGGATCATACAGGTAGGCAGCAAACAGTACATGGTGATTCATCTGAGGTACATAATACGTAAAGACATGTACACAGTATTAGATAGAGAATTACCCAAGTGTTGATCAAATATATATCAACACGAGTTGATAAAGTTTACAAATATCCGAGGCTTGCTGAGGATATTTTACTTTATCAACGAGTGTTGATATATTTGATATCAGAAGACACGAGGGTGAGATTCTATTTATCATCCAAAAATCACTCTTCATTAATTTTCAATGAAAGTGTACATCTCTGAACATGGTACTGCCATTAGACTTGCAGTGCAGCGATGTCATAGCATTGTGACGTCATCAAGTACATGACGTCATAGCATTGTCAGGGCATTGTACAAAAATCTACTGTCAAAACGATATCTCCTAGGAGATATCGTTTGATCTCACACAAGCGATATCTCCTGTGGAACACAGTTTTGGATGATAAATTAATATACATCTATCCTAACAACAAGTGTAACCTTGACCAGAATTGAAAAACATTTGTTCAGTACCATTTGATAAATGGAGATATTTGGTAGCATCATAATACTTAATAACTCCTTTATCAATAAAATTGATATTAGGCAAATAGTTTCAGACGCACATTTGAATATATTTTTGTTTGACTAGAAGGATGATTACATTTATAGAATTATTAGTTTCACCTTAATTTCAAACAAACCCTTTCAAACGTAAAGTTTACTGATAGTTGAACAGCATGAAGCCATTTTGTTACTTCGTTCCATAGTTTCTTTACATGCTCACATTTCCAAAAGAGGTGGGCCAGTAGTTTCTAGATCTTTTGACAAAAGGAGCAAAGTGGTGATTCTATGCATTTTATTTTATAAAGAAAAGATTTTGTTGGTAAACTGTTGTGGATAATCCTATATTGTAACCACCTCAGTTCAGTATCGTTTCCAAATCTCCCGTTACACACGAACATGTTGAGGTTTTTACACATCTCTATGAGTCTAAAGCCAAAGTTATTAACATTAGTTTTATCTTGCGAGTACCTTTCTTGTGGTAAGTTAAGTGATTCTAGAATATATTGGGGTTGTAACTCGTTACTTAATTCTTCATTATCAATATCAAACTCCTTAATTAGAAAGTTATCCATAGGAAGATAGTCGCACATATTGCCAGTTCGTGCGTTAAAATCGCCAGTTAAGCAAACGTAATCGCTTAAGGATAGGGATCTAAGTGTGGATTGTTCAATTTCATCGAATGAGTCAAAATATACATACTTTGAACCTTCCGGTGGAAGGTAAACAACACCAATATACATATCTTGATCGATACCAAAAAAATGCTTTGAAAGCTTCATCCATAATATATAATTTGCTTGTTCATCTAGGACTGACACATGTTCTGCTAGTTTTTCTCTTATTGCAATTCCGATTCCATCTGATTTCCGCAACATTCCTTGTCTATGTTTAAGTATAAGTTTAAAGCCTTCTATTTCTATTTCATCTAAACAGTCTGTTTTTGTTTCTTGTAAACAGATAATATCATTATTTTCAATCATACCTCTGAATTCGTCATATTCAAGTCTTTTCCTCAAACCACAAACATTTAGATTAAGGAAATGTATTTTAAATACAGGTGACTTTGGGTGATCATCATCATCATCATCATCATCATCGTCGTCGTCGTCGTCGTCGTCGTTAACAACAGCATCATCATTATCGTCATCATTATTGATATCATTATCATCAGTGACATCAACTGTATCATTCGCAGCAATATCTGCATTGACATTAACATCAACCATGTCAGAACCATTGACTTTATCAGTATTTTCAGAGTTTTCATAGATCATAGATTTTGGTAATTTAATATGCAACTTTCAGAGTTAACGGAGTGTTGATAGCTGCTCATAACTCCAAACTGGACGTTACAGTTTGGTAAGTCATTTGTATCTACACCATCACAAGCGTTATCTAAGCTTATGTGACAGACATTAGAGTTCTGATATATGCTATCACAATAGCATTGACACGAATGAGTCTCTTTGTCCACCGGCGTCCTCCCATCTCCTATTAGGAGTTACTGTGGGTGGCCTGTAAGGGTGGGGTGGGTACAGATTGTTGCTCACGATTTATGTATAGTTTGTCAATCACCATGTAGGCTTGTTGTCCCTTTGTCGGGCTTGTTTCACGAGTGGCAAGAGCACGTCTCGTCTGTACTGGCTTACCTCCTCTGGAAATTGTTCGCTTATCATAAACGGTTTACCTTTTAGTTTCTTCGCGGCGGCCTTGACAGAATTCTTTTCCCTCGAAAACAAACTTTGCTATCAGGATCGGGGTCGGGCTGTGTCGCCTGGGTACCTGGGTGGGCGGGACTTGCCTATCCTGTGTTCTCGTTTGAAGCTCATTATTTCGGCATCTAGATCTAAATGTGTTTTGATGAAATCCTTCAATACTCTCTCACAGTTTTCCAGTGTGGCCTCAGGTTCAGTTTCGGGAATGTTATTGAAAATCAAGTTGTCCCTCATCGAACGACATCTTTGATCGATTAAAGCTTCTTTTAGAACCATATTCTCTTGTTTTAGATCTGTTAATTGTGGCACACAAACACTGACCTGTTCCTTCAGAGCCTGCATATCACTGACAAGTGAAGCTCTATCTACTGTCCATTCATCAAAACTGTCACCTATGATTTTGGTACATGCTTCAGCATCATTCATTCTTGTTTTTAATGTTTCGATTTCTTGAACTTTAATTTCAAGCTGTGACATATTTGTTTTGATGGATAACACTTCAGCTTCTATTGCATCAAGTTTCGATAACTTTCTATCCATCTGCTCGAGCTTCGCCATTATGGCTGAATTATCAGGACTCGTGGGTAAGGGTATCTGGGACGACGGGTAGGGACTTGCAAACTGGTGTAACTGACCTGGTATTGCTTGATACATATGCTGATATGTTTGAGGGGTGTACACTGCGTCGAGAGTTTGTCTCACCGAGCTGTCCGCGTCCATGTCGGGTACGCGCTTGTTTGATGGCACGTCACCTGTGTTGAGGCTAGTGCCCGACGAGTTTGCTTTCTTCTTTCTTTTACGATCAGTTTTATCGTTTGAAGATTGTTTAGGCATAACTGACCATTTGAGAGTCCATTACAGGTAAAATTAGGTCCAGAAAACTTATATAGAAGAAGTTGTAGATGGAAAGATTGAAGAGCAGAATCAATGCACACCTGTGTCGAACTGACTGCTTAGTATATTTAATCGAATAAGCAGCTGACTCGATTCATAGCGTTTCGCTGCACTCCGATAGGATGTCGCATATGTAAATCATTGTATTAGATTATGACTGGATATTTGCTGAGAGTGGCTTATGAAGAAACTACAAATCATTGTATTAGATTATGACTGGATATTTGCTGAGAGGGGCTTATGAACAAACTACAAATCATTGTATTAAATTATGACTGGATATTTGCTGAGAGGGGCTTATGAACAAACTACAAATCATTGTATTAGATTATGACTGGATATTTGCTGAGAGTGGCTTATGAACAAACTACAAATCATTGTATTAGATTATGACTGGATATTTGCTGAGAGGGGCTTATGAACAAACTACAAATCATTGTATTAGATTATGACTGGATATTTGCTGAGAGGGGCTTATGAACAAACTACAAATCATTGTATTAGATTATGACTGGATATTTGCTGAGAGGGCTTATGAACAAACTACAAATCATTGTATTAGATTATGACTGGATATTTGCTGAGAGGGCTTATGAACAAACTACAAATCATTGTATTAGATTATGACTGGATATTTGCTGAGAGGGGCTTATGAACAAACTACAAATCATTGTATTAGATTATGACTGGATATTTGCTGAGAGGGGCTTATGAACAAACTACAAATCATTGTATTAGATTATGACTGGATATTTGCTGAGAGGGGCTCATAAACAAACTACAAATCATTGCATCGCCCTCAGAGTGAGTGAGGATGCTTTTGGCAATGTTCCAGCAATATCTCGACGAGGGACATCAAAGTAGTGGTGTGTAATATTCTTGAACAATAATTGTAAATAGTTCAACTTAAATCAGTACTCTCTTGAGCGAAAGCTTTACGTATGCCTACATCTGAACGCGTGATTTGTTATATATGAATAGTGAATTATAGTAACAACTCGTCGATATCTTTCATTATGATGCCGTCCATTCAATCGAAAAATCACATGAAGAAGGCAGGAATTACAATAACTTGACCAAAGAAGCCATGCGTAGGGCTTTCACTGAAGCTTGGTAATATAATGTGGAAAAGTCGTGCTCTTCCCTGCTTCGAGAAGACGGAAGCTGGTATGCACTTCATGCGCGAGAAACAGAATAAATGATTTAAATACGAACATGATAAAAGTAACAAAAAACGGGATTGTGAAGCCAGAAGTATGTATGCATGCATGCAAAATTTTGTACTTTGGAAAACGATTTATTCCGAAACCATATTAGGAAGATTGCAATAGAATTATAAGAAAAGTCTAAAACCCTCTCGTCGTAATGTAGGGCGGGGCTGGCAAATCGGTATCACTTCCATATATGGCACAGTCCCTGAGATCACAGGGACTTGTGCGCCATTCATATCGGAGACCAACTGGCGACTTGCTCTCACAGCCAGCTACTGACAACGATGCAGAGTTTGTGTCCTGGTCTGTGATTGGTGCAGCCACCCACTCATCTGAGTCTGCGCATTCGGTTGTACTCGTGCTGGAACAGCAGACCTGCAATACAATCACAACAAGTATGACGTCCTCCGAAATTCAAAGATATCAGTTTGTATTTAGCTTAAACACTCAGCGCGCGCTTATGTAAGTCTAGATGTGTAATTTGGATTAAATCAAGGAATGTTGATACAGTAACTGTATTTTATATGCATGCATCATTGTCAGGAGGAGGCTCTTTCGTGTAATGTCCTCACGTAAAATGTAAAAGATTGTCTATATTTACGACTGTTACGATAGATATAATGAGGAATAAAATGTATCTTCTGAAAACACACGATGTAATGCAACAATACCTCAAAGCCGTTGTTGTTAAGAACCTTTATAGGACTGTTGTCTCCGTAGTTCACGTTGAGGATGTTGTTGACGTTGTTAAGGCTGAATGTTTGAGGCAGAGGACCCTGAAACTTTACCCCTTCTTCTCCATAAGCCACCGACCGTGCTCCGAGCACCAGACGGGAGGCGATATCCTGCTTATACCGTGGATGGATTCTGGAAATTATCACCGATATAACCGAGAATATTTATGTTATGTATCAGTGGGGGGTGGAGTAGCTTAGTTTTAAACGTTCCCCACATGGGTACAATGTGTGAAACCATGTCAGGGGTCTCCGAGGTGATCTTACAGGAATATTGCTAAAACGGCGTAAAACCATAGGCACTCTCTGAATGATAGTTCTTTACGGATAATCTTGTCTAATGATCGCATTCATTCATTACTTTGGAAAAACACGGACAGAGGCAATAACCAAGAACCATCAATTAACATGCAATATCCTGTAATTGTGTTTTGTTGAAGTTTTGTGTCGCATTCAACGATATTCTCTGGCTGTATAGTGTCCGTCATTATTTATCATGGACCAGACAATCTAATGAGTCAAATCTGGAGCATTGATCAACAATTTAAACTGCAGGTCGTAGACTTACTTTACTATCTTCATAAGTCGATGAATATGTTGTTGTTTTCGCGGAATACTTACGATCCAAATGGGGAGTCATAGTCAGGAAGGTCCATGGCTACAGCCATGAAGGTTTTAGACATCTTTTCGTTTGGAGCAAATCCGAACTTAGCAGTTTGAGACCATCTTATTGCGGGAAAATCTCCAACCTCCGACGATTTGGCATTTGGAGCAAGCTGTTAAAAGTAATGGGGTCTTAAATATAAAGCAGATATGTATCAGATCAGTCATACGACATTGAAAGCGTGTTTGAAGTGTCTATAAGATGATAATGGAAAAAACATTACTTCAAGTTTTAAATGATCCATTTTACACTTTAAATGCAATATGGTAGCCCCAACATAATGTATACTCATGCGTGCTTTAAGATGCTCTGGTAATGGAACTCATGAAATTCTCTGTCTGTAAGTTGATCTTACGTTTTATGCACAAAATTACAAAGTTACTTAGTATCTCTTTTCTTTGACGCAAATCATTTTGTTTGTTTACAATGTACAAAGAAAAAATGTTACAACCTTAACGCTTTCGCATATAGAAATATATATATATATATTAACTAATATATACATCTTTTAACATGTATCCATAGTTTAGTACACTTCAGCATTCATGATTCAGTTACTAAAGTGCAGGACAAAGGAAAGTATATAATCCTCTTTGATGCTCCTTCAAGGTTATTCGCTGGTAATGTAATGAACAGAATGAAGAAGTTACTTTCATGACCAGTTGTGTTGATTCTTAAAATACCAGACATTCAGTTAAATATCATTTCTACCTGTGAAGACCCGGGTGTTCAGCAACCCATGCTGATCGGGTGGTCAGGCTCGCTGACTTGGTTGACGCATGTCATTGTATCCCAAGTGCGTAGATCAATCGTCATGATGTTGATCATTCGATTGTCTGGCCCAGACTCGATTATTTACCGACCGCCGCATTATAGCTGGAATGTTGCTGAGTGCGGCGTAAAACAACAAACACACTAACATTTTGACAGTAATTGTAATTCTGGGGTCAGTTCCGCTGTCAGGTCCACACTTTCATTTACTCTGCAGCTTAGTTCACTGAAATACTCCTCATATGTCGTCAATCACCTGGACAAATCCAAAAGGAAATTGGACATCCGTCTCTTTTTCAGAGCTTTCATGAAATTTCTTTCTCCAGTCATTTATCATTGCAGGAAACTGACATGCGTATAAATCTGGGTACCAGACATTTGACTCCCCTGTGAAAGAAGAATAACATGTGTCGTATTACTGGATTAAGTGCAGAATCTTGGAGATAAAAGCGACAAAACCCTCTCCACATCCATAAGAAATGTCTACTAAAATCTGAGTCGATGGTACAATTCTGATGGACTTCATCATGAGTATGTAACTGTTTCAGCAGTGAACCGCTGTACGCATAGGTGGATCCAGATCCGGAACTTTTGTCCTGAAAGTTTATTAAATGACTATTAAAACTCTCGTGAAAATGAAGTGTGCACCCCTACTTTCTCAAGAGTGTGCACCTCTCCTTTCTCAAAAAGCTGTATCCGCCCCGGGTACGATGTTGCTTGTAAACAATCGAGTCTGGACAAGAGAGTCCACTGATAGTCACCATGCAATACGAATACAGCATGTGTACATAAACCACTATGATGATACACGGTGTTCGCGAAAAGGTGGGGTGACCCACCTGTGGCACCTGTCATAAACATATGCAAAGTCAAGTCAATTGTCTAGAAACATTCGTCGAAAATGTTCTAAACGTCTTCAAACATACTTGCATCTTACCGGTGTGCCCACTGGCCAACATTACAATTTCGTGATGCAGCCTACCTTCTTGTGATAAAATGTACGCGGACTATCGAATATATCGATAGTTCGGTCAGACAGCATGTTACAAAATATACATGCGTTTTCAAAAAACATGGTCGCCTGTAAATCAAACTCAAGCGACAGAATGCTCATCGCAGTGACTACTATTTATAGACGATCACCCCGCTGAGCGTTCCATGCGACAACTATGTTCAGTATTACTTGACACTGCATGATCTCACTTGTCCAAATGCCTCTATGTTTCGAGGAATGCGCCGCAATATATAAGTGAACTGTAGTAAACAATCATTTTTGTACCTTCGGGGACTGAAATCGTTTGTTGTTTCATAGACCAATCGAAATAAGATGAGCTATCTGATTGGAACTGGCGCATTCATTAAAAGATTCACAACTTCCAGCTCAGGCATTAAAAGGCAGGATAGAAACTAGTCTTTTTTATTTTGACTAGTTGTCACTCTTAGGGAAATATGTGAACTTAAATTCTTAAATAAAAATGGTAGTTTAATTACCTTGATACCATAATGCACCAAATATCGTCATGTCGAGAAATGGGTTGATCATGGCATTCCACAATACGTACTTGTCAAGTGGGGATCTAAATATTCAGCGAAAAATTAGTTATGATATAATGTAGTATAGATCTTGAGGAAACCCACTGATTATTAATATCAAGGTCGAGTCTATCAATAACGTTACTGGGTGTATTGTATTGTGACTTTGGAACTATAACACCTGCAAACCCTGATATGTCTTGGATCTGTGACTGACTTAAGAGATTGACAGGAGAGTGGAACCAACAAAAGTGATTATATAACAATGTACATATCAGAATAAAAGATACTCATTCTCACATACTTTCTCAGATCACTTTTAACTAAAAACCCACTTATATATTTTAACATATTCAGACCTTGGCATTACTGGACCATTACTCCCGTCATATATGATGTCCGGGTTTAAGTATTCCTCCTCGCTAAGATATGTATTATTCGGCGTGGGACACTCTGCGATGGCGTCCGGAGAAGACCAGGCTTCAATTGGCGTCCCTCCATATGTCGAGTCTATTAGTCCAAGGGGATAGTTCCTATTGGGCTGAATATATTCCCCAAACAGCATGCACAGAGCCGAGAAACGAGACACATCAGCTGTTCGAAATCAAATAGATCAAATCCAGTTAGAAATGGTTTCGGTAAATTCTCTTATGAAGACATAACGGGTGCAAGAAGACGTAAAAGGAATATATTTCATGCATGTGTAAATATAGGATACACACACAGTGCATTTCCTTAGTAGAATATATTCATACTTTTTCAACACATGCACAGCTTGAGAATGCTTGAAATAGCTATCACGGAGTGTTCTTGGGTTCTCTAAAAATATTTAAGGCAGGACATAATATACATATTGATTTGAAATGGTTATTCTACCTTCATTTGGGTCTGTCCACTGGAAGGCCAAACTTTGCAAGTCTTCCAAGGGAGTGGGTGATTCCACCATTGACGCTTTAATAATTCTTATAGTTTTGAACTTAAGAGACTCTGCTATTTCTGCAGATGAGTTTATGACCTGAAACCAGACGACAAAATCATTTATGTATGACTTCCTTCGAACTGATAACATATATTTTTTAAATTTTGACAATGCTATAAAACATTCATGCATATTATTTACTTACGTCAAAGTATAACGATTAGTCTACTATGTCCATACGGTCCTCATGAAAAAGAAACCCCGTAATTAATTCTTTTGCTAAGACACAGGTACCTGACTCATTGGCATCTCCATGTTACTTTGTCCAGAGCACACCCATACGTCACCAAACATGACGTCAGTTAGAGTTAAGTCCCCTTCTGACGAGGACGCTGTCAAGGTGAAAGGACCAGGGTCAGTGACAGCTGGCAGTTTAGCCTTCCATAATCCCTCATTTCCATTAGGATCCTTCACAACCTTGACTTTGACCTCTCCTTTGCCACTGACCTTGACAGTAACCTCGTCGCCAATTGTTGCAGCATGGCCCCAGACTATCGCCCTCTGGGGCCCTCTTTGAAGCACCATGTGGTCAGCATAGTATGACGCAAATTTCAGCACGGCGAGCGTACCTTGACGGACAAAAGAAATTTGTCAGTGAGCATGGACCACAAAAATGAAACCATTTCTATTACTCCAAGACATCTCAACGAAAAGGAGATCTATTGATTGAACTAGTATCAAATAGTCACAGCATCAAACTTTGGCTATCTGATGGAGGTGTCTCTGTTTGGTATCAGAAATATAAATACAACGTTTGTTGTTCACACTGCCAAGAGACAAGAACTGGCATATTGTTAGCTGCTGTATTTTGTTATGTGTTATATGTAAATTAATAAGGAACAGGAAAATCTTAAGAATAAAACATTATAATACTTACTAGAAAAATGTAACAGTAAGACCAACAGTTGTTTCATGATGCGACCCGTTTTATCAACGTTTGAGATATGACTTATCTTTGTGGGAAATGACATTTTATGGTACCCAATACTGACCTCGCTCTATTTCAGATTGTGTTTTATAAATATATACTTTAGACACAAAGTATTGCAACAGGTCATATTTTGCATAATATCAATGCTTTATCTTTAACGAAAGGAAAATAACGCATTCAAACCTCAACATCGGTATAGCAAAGCAACTTATCCAAACCTCAATATTACTCACTATCTGAATAAACTGACCCGAAAGGAATAATGTAATAGCAAATCAAAACGCAGAAAGAACGAAAAGCTGTAGTTTATTCAGAGAATTAAACATTTAGCCAATGACTTATTTTGTAGTGATAATAAGTATGGTCGACTGACGTTAACAAGTGCTGTCATTTTCAAGATTCGAGCAATCCTCAGGAATTCACATCAGTAGTAATAACCGAACACCGAGCACAGTGTCAATATCTGGTGTTACTTCCACAAACTGTAATAACCTCCCCGACACTTCTCCTTGACTGTATCAGACGTTGACATCTGGTGTCCTGGTGGGTCAAGGTATCTTGACGTAAGAAATGACCAACGGCACGATGTGGCCTAGCATTGCCATCTATGTGTTTAGAGGATAGTAATCGAAATGTGGTACAACAACCCTGTCTGGGATGTCAGTGGTGTACCATTGTCGATTGAGAATTTGTCTGAACGTCACAAGATCAAGTCTGCAGACATGTGTGAGACAACCCCATCAATGGCACTTCCTTTGAGATATTCCATATATACAGTGTTTCTGGGGAGCCAAATACGAGCTTGGCCGTCAGTCATGAACAAAAACAAATAAAACGACTTTCGTCCGACCAGTTGACCCTTCCCCATGACGTCAAATTCCAGTGACGTCGCGCTTGACACCACGTTAATCGTGTTGCTTTGTTCACTGGGGGTAGCAATAAGTTGCAATCGTTGAGCAGCTGTCAGTACAGGATGCGACATTTTTACTTATCAGCAATGAAATCGATTTATTTCCAAGTTATCGAGGTGTGAGAACTGTTACTGAAACTTGATTTTTTCCTTAATGCCTTGCAGACGTTTTGTACGTTATGCTCGTCTTTGATTTAAGGTTTTTAGATGTGTATTTAAATAATATGATGTGTGCACTTCTGACAAAAGTATATTTTCAGCCCCCAGGAGCTCAGGAATGAGTGAGTGAATAAGTGTAGTTTTACTCCGCTTTTAGCAATATTCCAGCAATATCACGGTGGGGGACACCATAAATTGGCTTCACACATTGTACCCATGTCGGGAATGCAACCCGAGTCTTCGGCGTGACGAGCGAACGCTTTAACCACTAGGCTACCCCACCGCCCCAGGTATTTTAGGAAATAAGGCATGTCTCCACATAAAGGAGATATTGTGAAATGTGGAGAGCATAGCAGGACAAAACACCCAATATCCTGTTATTCCTTTGTTAACTTGTATCATCATTGATGTACTTATTTTACTAAAAGGCATACCACTTGTAATTACACCCAAAAAAAATACATTCTCGAATAGTGTTGAAGATGAGGCATCTGAATCTGAGAGTATAGGCTCGAATCCCGGAAGGTAGTATTCCCCAAAGTACTGGAATGTGTACTTAACTGAGAAATTGTAATTCAACTTATTATATGACATTGTGTGTATCCATAGCCTTCGGTCGTGTTAGCCCATTCCAGTCTACAGTTATCACAGGGCCACACTTCGTACGTGACTAACAGTTATCAGACTTCCATGTTTGTGGAAGCTGCGGGGTCAGATTGGCTTAGATCGCTGACATTGTGCTAGCTGCATCAGTCTGAGTGTATGGGTTCTATTCCAAGATAGGTAAAAAACTCCAGTGTACTTAAATCTGTACTTTACTGAGAGTACAGCTCTACTGACAGCACCTGTCACCCCAGCAATTCGCATATATGGGTCTTAGTAAGTAAGTGTATGTAAATTCCATAGGTGAATATGCCTCGTGAGTATACGGTTTAGAATTGGTCTTCAGCAACCCATGCTTGTCGTAAGGGGCGACTAACGGGTTGGGTTGGTCAGGCTCGCTGACTTGGCTTGGTTCATTGACGTGACCAGTCATGATGGTCATGATGTCAATCACCGGATTTTAATGCACAGACTCGATTATTTACAGAACGCATTCAAATAGCTGTAAAATCAATGAGTGCAGTGATAAATACCAAACACGCAAGCAAACAAAGCTGATTATTCAACATTTCATGTGTTTATGAAGTTCAAACACAGTTGAACATTTGCAAGTCCACCAGTTTTCTAGCTAATAAAGCTTTCAGACACCTATGCAGAGAATTTGGAGATATATCCACAGGCAACACTTCAGACAATAAATCAAAACCGGCGAAAAATATGAATGCTATGTAAAATGTGAAACAGATCTGGACAAATTCTCTGGTCACTTCAGTCTTTAATCGAAAACTTATCTAATATATGATAGATTACTGAACATCTCGTTTATGAAATTCCAACAATCAGAAATAGTCTGCAGCTTTGGTACTCATAGTCGTCAGAGTGTACTAACATACATAGTACACTCATCCCAGACTAGTTAAAACCATTTTCTTTGATATATGGCGGCGCCGGCAAGCCTGTGTCTTTTCCATATATGGCACAGTCCTTGAGATCACAGGGACTCATGCGCCATTCATATCGGAGACCAACTGGCGACTTGCTCTCACAGCCAGCTACTGATACCGATACAGAGTTTGTGTCCTGGTCTGTGATTGGTGCAGCCACCCACTCATCTGAGTCTGCGCATTTCGTTGTGCTCTGACTGGAACAGCACACCTGAAAAATAGAAATAAATAAGTAAAAAAGTCATTTGGATATGTTTGTCTTCTTCAGTTTTATGCTAAGATATTACATAATCATAAAAATTATAAGAATATTATACAAGATATGAAACAACTGGCATATCATACAATTAAGCAAAGATACTGATATAAAGAGGATTGTATACACATGGTAAGGAACATTCATGGATAAGTGAGTTGGGTTTTACGTCGCTATTAGCAATATTCCCACACTATCACGACGGGGGACATCAAAATGGGTTTCACTCTTTGTACCCCAGGCCTTCGGTGTGACGAGCGAACGCTTTAACGACAAGGCTACATTGGATAATTAATGGATAAAGGTTCAACAAGTACCTCAAAACCATGGTTGTTAAGAACATCGAGAGGGTTGTTTGGACCGTAGGTGATCTTCAGCGTCTGTTGATCGTTGTCAAGACTGAACGTCTTGGGGAAGGGACCGTGAAACTTCACCCCTGGCTCTTTGTAACCAACTGCACGTGCCCCTAAAACTAAGCGGTGAGCGACATCCTGCTTGTATCGAGGGTGAATTCTGAAAAATAAAAAAACCCATTAGTTCATCAATACATCAAATATGGGAACGTTTATGAATGCGTTTATGAATAATAATGTAATATTATTATTACTAAATATTATTTTATGACAAAGGCTTTTTATCATCTGATGTATTAACGGATCTATATTTCATAATGCGTCGTTTGTCATTCGACGATTTCTTATCCGACATCTTAATGAGCATGACATGTCTTCATTATAAATTACACGTGTTCTTAAGAGTCTTTTCCATTTCACCACGAGCCACTGAAAACGATTTACACGTGATCCTTTCTTACTTTTCCATACAAAAAAACTCACAAAGTATCGACCAGGAAGAGAGTTTTATGGATGTCAACTTCTACATTATGAGGAACACAACGTTTCGGAATATATCCTTACTCATTCATCAGTTGAAGGAGTAAGGATATACTCCGAAACGTTGTCTTCCTCGTAATATAGAAGTTGACATCCATAAAACTCTCTTCCTTATGTGTATCGCTTCTAAATACCATTCATGTTTATGTTCAAACACGTTTATCCATCAACATACTTCCAACTCTAGGTAAACTTGAGTGGATCACCATTTGTAATATAATCAACAAATCCTTTCCCTGAACATTCTTTTGTTTTCAACATCCTGCCAGTGATGACAGGAGAACATGTAATGGTAGGGTTTACATATGTGAGCATTAGAAACAGTAAAACGTACGGTCCATAGGGGGAATTGTAGTCTGGGAGGTCCATAGCTACAGCCATGAATGTTTGTGGCATCTTTTTATTGGGAACAAACCCAAATCCGGCTGTCTGGGCCCAGCGTTGTTCGGGAAAGAATCCAGCTTCGTCCGTCTTTTTATTAGCAGCCAGCTAAACAGAACATGGTGCTGTTGTAGAAAACAACCTTAGCGCTAAGGGTACCTTAAGTCAATGTTAAAGTATAGGAGTCCCCTAAGCTCGCTTTGTACCATGGCACCCAGGACAAGAACACGTGAGCAACACACCTTTCCAGATACACTCGTATTTAATGAATATAACTGTATAAGTAAGTGAGTGAGATTGGATGTACATCGCTTTTAGCAATATTCCAGCAATATCACGGTGGGAGACACCAGAAATGGGCTTCACACATTGTACCCATGTGGGGAATCGAAGCTTTCACTCTTTTGATCGTTGCAAACGACCTAAGTATTCCTGACTAATTAAATATCAGAACTGATTTCGTACAAATGTATGTTATATATTTGTTAGGTCGAGATCCTGGTGAACTGAAGGAGCATGTCCAGCATTATGGCTTCATTTCTTCAAAAATGTCTATAAAATTCTCCCGATACTGATTTGAAATAACACTGGTGCCGTAGATGGTGTAGTTCATGTGGACACAGTTTAGGAGGTATACAAACAGGATTACAGGAGAATGTTGCTGTTAGCATTTATAACTAAATGATGTATTCAAATTATGCATTAATGTTGAGAACTAAAGAAATATCTAAAAGTCTTATTATTTAAACGAACTATGAATGAGTAGGGATTTACGTTGCCTTTAGCAATATTCCAGCAATATCACAGTGGGGGGACGCCAGAAACATGCAGGGAATCGAACCCTGGTCTACCACTGTGCTACCCACCACACCAACAAAACATGATGCCACATACGTGCACGTGTCATCTCATCCAGTGTGACATGTTAAGGACAGAATTAGTTTACAGCGCCAAATATGCCATTTGTTAGAATTTGAGAGTGTGCTTGGACAAAATAAGACGGAAATCACAAATATCGCAAAATCAGAATCTGTATATTCACTACTACTAACTACATATGTAAAGTGAACACAAATAAGTAGCAATGAAATGTTCTTTGCCAATGTCTGGTACAGTCGTGCTTACAATTTGAAACATGGACGATGGATCAACTCACTGACGTTATCAGCTCACTGCCCAGCCAATTATGTTAAATTTTGTTGTTTTCTTTGTTACATGCAGTACATATGCTTCGCCTCCACTTCATGTTAAATTCCTGCTTGACAACGATACAAGAATATGCAACGAAACGTTGCACTCACGAAATAAAGAAGTTGTTATCCATAGAATTCGTCTATATTGTACTTCCCAACTTCTAAAATGCCACTCAAAGAAGGTTTCTGAAGAGACCATTTTGACCACGGACGACAGACAAATTGGCCTCGAGGTAACTCACTTAAAAATGTCAGTTTGATACCACCATTGAGCAGTTATTTTTAACGTTTTCACTAGTCTAATATGATATATGTCGACTTTTCATGTAGCCATTGACTATCCATGTAGTCATTGTAGATTTTGCACATCGGCAATTGATGTAGTCATGCTATAGTCGTTAAATGTTGAGGAAAAGGAATATATTCCGTTCATAAACTACCTGGGCAAATCCAAAAGGGAACGCAGCGTCCGTTTCACCTTCTGAAGCAGCTCCAAACTTCTGTCTCCAGTCTTGAATCATAGCCGGGAACTGGCATTGATATCTCTTTGGTACGCCGCCCTCACCTGTAAAACATGGTAAAGTATAAATAGCAGTTTGTAAAGTGTTATTGTTACTTGTTGTACTAATTTAATATATACGTACCCGTAAGTTTCTGGTTAGAATTGGTCTTCAGCAACTGATTCTTGTTGTAAGAGGCGACTAACGCTGTCATTGATACCCAGTTGCGTCGATAGATGCTCATGATGTTGATCACCGGATTGTCTTGTTCATACTGAGTTATATACCGACCGCCGCCATATAACTGGAATATTGCTGAGTGCGGCTTTAAATAACAAACCAACCAACTAATATATCGTATTGACGGGACATACGATTTATACTCACAAACGTTTTCAAAATACATCATTTTAAAATCCTATAGGAATATGTCGAATGCACATTGGAGATCAACAGTGTCATCATCTAGCCGTGACGTTAACGTTGTATGTTTATAACACTTTCTTTTACTGATACCATGTACTTCCTGATGACGAAAGCATCCATAACAGGGAGAGGCAATGTGTCTTTTAGCGCTTAACGTGGAAAAGGTTTATTTCCTTAGTCATATCACATACCTTGGTCAAAAATTGTTATGTCTAACAGTGGATTGGTTATGGCATTAAATGCAATGTGTGTAGCTCCTTGAAACGTTGATATATCACATACCTTGCCACCAGATTGCTCCAAATATTGTCAAGTCCAACAGTGGATTGATCATGGCATTCCACGCCGCACTTTTAGTCTTTGGTCCGCTGGAATGTATCAACAGTATTCATTATCTTTAATGTATGTACTTAAAAGGCTTTGGTCTATGTTTTCCATAGTGGTTGAAGCGTTCGCATGTCACGCCGAAGACCTGGGTTCGATTCTCCTCATGGGTACAGTGTGTGAAGCCCATTTCTGGTGTCCTTCGCCGTGATCTTGCTGGCATATTGTTAAAAGCGGCGTAAAATTAGCTCACTTGATTTTCCATAGAACATATTCAGATTTAAATTGTATTTAACTGACGAGGATAAAGTGACGAAACATAAATATATTACAGAATTGTATGCATGAATGTGAACAATGCCATAGAACAGAATCCACAAATCGAAGTGCATTTTAAACATTTTATCATTACCACTTCGGGAGATATGTTTAATATTAGATATCTGAAAATACGCATCTCACGGTACATTTCCCTACAAACCAGTGCGAATACAAATAGTCCTTCTCGTACCTTGATCTTTTCGACTGAAGAGATTCCTTGTGCTTTAGCAATGTGTTGAGAATATATGATGTCATAGAATGATTCACAAACTTTGCTTCACAGTCTCCCAAGTGTGATACATTGTATGTGTGCATAGTTAGTGATTGACAGTGGTGTGTCATATTACAGTCCCTCCAGTCCTTCCGCGACGAATTATAAGAAGTAATTTTTCAAAATTCTGCAAAATATTCTGCAGTTAAAAACTTAAAAAATAAAAAATAAATAAATAAAAATTCTTCAAAAAGACCGATTTTGTGAACATAATTGCAATGTCAGATTCAAATAATATTATTGTAAGGTGCTTAAGAAAAGATTACCTTATGAATAAGTCATCTATATTTTGAAAATATCGTCATAACAAATGTCTCATTTCGTTTTGTGTAACCAATCATACTTTTGACATTTACCCCTATTTTTCGTTTCGGTTGCTAGTCAATCTTGATTCAACTTACAAAATAAGTAAATTCCGCGGCAGAAAAATGGCAAATTCTGTAGGTATTCTGTATGAAAAGGCGTTTTCCGCGGACCAGACGTTTTTCTGCATCAAAAGGTATTTTCCGCGATCTATTCTGTAACCGCAGAATCGTGGAATACAGGAGGGACTCATATTTAGATAGAGTTCTGGAAGGTAGTACAGAATGTTACAACCCATTTCTCTTTTCCACAATATTCTGACGCAGGGAGTTGGAGAAATTTCGGAAGTTTTTATCTTAGGTGTAAAAAGGGAACTAACCCTTGCCTCTCATCTCAAACATTACGTTTGAAGTTAGAATAAGTCTATCGATTGTGTTGAGATCATTTTGACCGTGGATATTCAGCTTAAACCATAGTTGCCGTGAGTTTTTTATTACCATCATTGTCGTTTTGCTATAATTCATCAAGTTCTTTCTGCGGGCTGATTTTCGGTTAACTACTTTATTTGTTTTTAACTTAGGTATCAGCAGGTAACAACGTAATTGTCGTATTAGTTTTCAAAAGCGAAACGATATCACGATGTCACACCTCACTTGATGTTCGGGACATTTTGCCAGTGCATCAGGCGAGGACCATGTTTCAATAGGAGTTCCTCCCCATGCTGCCTCGACTAGGCCTATTGGGTAGTTCCTGTGTGGGTAGAGGTACTCGCCGAACAACCAGCAAACTGCAGAAAAACTCGACACAGTATCTGAAACACAGTAATATATTTCTAAAGAAACGAATATGATGAGACACAATAAGGCTTTTTTGCTGTACATTATTCAGGACGTTCCAGTGTATATATCACCTATATCAAGCAATTAATAAAATAGGGTCTCATTTAATACTAGCGGATTCACCTGCAATATATAACATTACATGTTCATTACATATAATTAGCCATGACACAAACTTTAACGATTGACAGTGCAATTCTGTCGTTGTAGTACTGCTTAAAGTATTATCTTAAGTTTTAACAATTGTTAGAAACATAAATGTTCTCTATAATGAATTTGTATAGTAGTACACACAACACATTGTATAACTGTAAACTCTGTCATATAAACTCATAGAATACTGTTATAATTCTATGCACATATCGTATTACTTACAGGCATACACGTGCACTGAGACGACATACTGCCGAGTTTATTATGAAACATTTGCCAGAAATTCCAAGGTGTTATTTGCTTTCATTTGTCTTGACGTTTCAGCTTCATTTGCTTGACGTTTTAGCAGCAGGTTAATCTCATCCCCTTCGAGTCATCCATACATTGAGGAGATATTTATACAGCCTACTTAACAGTGCATCGTCATACTTGCCCAAAGTTGTTAATTGCTGTCATTTCCTGGACATTTCAGAGACGCGCTTACTTCATGCAAGTATGCGTCATACACATATGTCCGGTCACCTTGTGTTATTAAATTTCAAATGACTATCACAGACGTGACAGCGTGTTTCATTAGGTATCGCTGATTCTATGACACTGACGATTTCTTGCGGCTAAATGTGGTTGTTAATCAAAGCATAAGCAGCTATCACATTTTGTTTGTTCATGACATGCTGAATCACCTTCTGTGGGTGCTGTCCACGGTGTTGACACATTTTCAAGGTCTTCGAGTGGTGAGGGTGATTCGACTTGGCCAACTTTAAATATCCTGATGTTCTTGAACTTCAAGGCTTCGGTAATTTCAGCTGATGCGTTAATGACCTACAAACAGCATATACATCTAACGACACATAAATCCTTACACGACACAGGAACGATTACATTATTGACAGCAGTTTGTATACAATTTTAAATTTTCAAATATGGAACTTGAACTCACTAAAATGCACAGAACGTAAATAGAAATCAACCAGAAAAAATCCACTTTTTTACAGAAAACTCCATCTTGATCACCATC